AGTTATAATACCATCCAAAAAATATTTATGATCGGAATTACTTGAAACTTGGTACGAATGTTCTTTAATACAATGAAATAAATATGTGTTTTAGCATTTCTCGAAATTCATCCTATAAGGGGGTTAAATATGGGATGAAATTTTGTAGGAAACCTACCTTTTTAGAGATTTTTTTTGTAGTTTTAGCGCGAGCGAAGCTGCGGGTTCTCTTAGTATTATATAATAATTCGTGGCTAAACCTAATTTTAATTATAAGTTTTACTTATTAGGTATTAAATAAAAAATCTATAATAAAGGTATGTTGCTACTAATATCGGTTTCACCGGTTGTACGCTTACCAAGCGAATGTATCATATAGTTTTTAGGTGCAGCAGGCATTCCTATGTGAAACTCCAGGTCTGTACTTATTCACAAAATATTTCATTCAAATCCGTCCAGCCTTTTTTTATTATTTACATTATAAATAAAACTATCTTTTCGGATTACTTTCCCGACGTTTCGAATTCTTTACAGCAATCATGGTCACGGGAGAGACTCAGTCTCAGTCAAAATGTCAAATATTCGCGTAAATCTAAGAAAGTATTATTATTTAGATGTCATAAATTTCATATTTTTCTAGCATTGCGAGCTAAGGAATATACTTACCGTATTAGGAGAAAAGGGGATCAGAAAGAGAGAGAGAAAGAGAGATGGGAGAGATGATAATTAAACCAAAATGACATAATGCCAACTTAAAATATATAATCCTTAAAAATGGTTGGTTTTATATAAAAGTTATATATGTATACATACAACTATATTTAAATTCCTGTAAGTAAAAGTTACTTGATACATTATGATAAAGAGTGACTTTTGTAAATGTAAAAACCTTGAACCTTGCTTGCATAGGTTCGTGATCTCACGTCTCGGGTGTACGTAATACTTTTATCAAATTCCCCAAAAGACCACTGATAGCATCGGTTTTACTTAAATTTTTATGTCGTCAACATTAATTTATATTTGTTATCACGAAGTTTTATCAGTAATGGTAATTCCACATGGAATTGCCTGATTGATGTGTTTTATTATTCACAAAATATTAGGTACATTTATTGACGAGATTTAGTGTTATTATCAATAAAAAAATGTTATATATATATATGTATATATGTTATGTTTTTCTCAATTTTTAATAATTTCTAGCATTTGGCGAACACTTTTATAATAATAGTATAATAATAATTAATAAACCTAATTTGTATTTCATCCAATATTTACGTTTCGCTCCCTTTCGGGTTGTTATTCTTGTTTTTTTTTAAATTGTTATTTAATTGTTTAAAATTTGTATTATTTTAATGTGATTGTTTAAACAAATTTTTTTCTTTGCAAGGATATCTTTAAGCAAATTTATAATATTTCTTAGTTATACTTTTTTATTCTTATGAAAAATCAGTACTGTACTAAAATGATATAAACCAAGCTCTTTGCAGTATCTGTCTCAACAAACAGATTATTGTAGGATTATTCTAAAATTTAAATACATATTGTATAATTAATTGAAGTAGCCAAAAAATATTTGCAGTGAATGTTCGAAGAATACCTTTATTTTTTAAATAAAACTATCTTTTCGGATCATTTCGCGGATTTATCTTAAATATATGTATCTTTCGCGGATATATCTTTGGTTCCCCAAATTTTTTGGTTTGGTTGGGGAACCAAAAACAAAATAAATCCGCGAAATAATCCGAGAAGATAGTTTTTTTTAAAATGTCAAATATTCGCGTAAATCTAAGAAAGTATTATGAATAACTTTATGTTAGTAGTTTCGTCCTTTTTGACGTCCCACTGCTATGCATAAGCCTTCTCTCCATACGAGGGGGATCAGGCCATAGTCCACCACGTCGGCCATTTGCAGGTTAGCGCACTCAATATGTGTTTTGAAGACAAGATAGGTTCTTTGAGACATGCAGGTTTCTTTATGATATTTTGTTTTCTAAAAGCAAATGGTAATCATTTTATATGAGTGTATAAGATTCGAACTCCCATTTCCAATGACTCGCAAGTTACCAATGGATTACAACTGCCACTTTTATATTTATTTAAACTTAATCGAGAACCTCTTCTTACAAAAGTAGGTTAGAATCTTTTCTAAAAACTAACCCATGCTAAGGAAATATTAAAATGAAAGAAGAAAAGAAGCTAAATAAGATGCTCTTAAACTACAAAACATGCATAGAATTTTTTATGCAAAGGAAAAATAATATTTGAAAAGCGGTGAATGCGAGGCACTTTCGCCGTCTGGAAGTTGTTAAATGGTACAAGAATAGCTACATAAGACTATATAAAGTTTAACTTACGCTGTGTTAAGAGCAAAGCGGGTAGAAATAGCAATAACAAGTTAACATATTACAACCAATATATTTATAGAAATAAGAGAATTTATTATTCCACCCTGTAAATAATCCTTATTTTCTATTTCTACGAAGGAATTTAATAAAATTATACACTAGTGACTTAACCTGGTTTCACTCGAGTGCTTCTCTTGTTGCCTATATGTTAATATAGATCATAGTCTCTGTACTAAATTAAATGTAAATCCGTCATATTTTCGTATCTGTAACATATAGGATATGACCGTAGTATTTTTTGGGTTGCTAATGTTTTTAATTTCATTAACAATAGTACGAGCTGTGATATATATATATATATATATATATATATATATATATATATATATATATATATATATATATATGAGAAAAAACGCTCAAAGTTTATTACTTGAAAATATTTGCAGTAAGGACTCGTATGCAACTACCGTAGTACCTCATTATAGGTCGAGGCGGTGGAAGATTTGAAAACTTCTTTGAATGTACTATCTCATTTTTAAGACATTTCCCGATAAGATTCTTTTGGATTGCACTTTTAAACTTCTGTCGATATTTTTGTAAGTTATACTTCAGCTTATTCAATTTAGTTCTGGCATATTTTGTGAATTTGCCTATGGCTTTACTGGCGTGTGTGATGTAATTTAAATATCAATTTAGATCGTGATGAAAATAAAACATTTTCGATTTCGTAGGCTATATCTTTCATACTTTCTCATTGGTTTAACGGTTAGCATGCACTGCTACCAATTGGGTGGTCCTGAGTTCGAATTCTAGGTAGGACCAAATATGGTTTATGTTGGGCGTTTACGTTAAGAAATTTTCAGTAATAGTCTGAGCATCGGAAAGTAGCGTTTTTACACCCCCATGTAAAAAGATTTGCTTGCACCTGATTTCTCATTTCTCGTGTTAAGCTTTGAGAGGGAAAGAAATAGAACACGTATTTAACAAAACACGCACTTAATAATTACCTCGATTTACGAAATTTAAATAAAATAATATTTGGGTCTTATTTAAAATGCAATCATGCAAAATTAAAAAAAAAAACGTAAAAACGGTTTTTTTAATTTTGAAAAAAAAACCGGAAAGATAGTTTAATTTAAAACTCGCACTTGTTATACTATAATATCTTTTACCCAGTTGGCTAGTCTCAGTGAGATGAGCATATGATAAAGTTTTACATTTATTAAAGAAAAAAAAGTTTTTGAAAGTAATATATAAAGAATAAACAGATAATTATAAGTGGAGTCATTTTCATATATAATACTAGCACCGATGTATAATCAAGTTAACCTATTTTAATGCCCATCTCCTAGGCACGGTGCAGCTGATTGACAGACATTACAATTCTTTCGAAAACTAGTTAGGTTCTTATAGACACGGAATTATCATAACGGTTTCCCTATAGTGTTTTTCTTCGCTGTAAGGCTAGTTTCATGTCATGTTGAGAATCATTCACTCATGAATATAATGGAGTTTCGATACCCGGGATTTGAGCATATCTTCACTCACTCACGTCACTTGTTTCCCCGAGCGAGCGGGTTAGCACTGGGCCATCTCTGTCCACTGGATAATATACAATATACATATACCTACGTATAATATTTTCATAATAAATAAACTTTACCGAAATTGCTTTCAAAATTAGAGACAAAGTCAATGAATAATAATTAAACTATGCAAATGAAATCTGCAGCAAACATTGACCAAAATTCAGGTTTGAAATGCGTTTGGAGTTCTTAAATTTATATATTAATTCTAAACGAGCGAAATTTACAGTTTTTAAGATTTTTTATCGGTTTTTCTGTTTGTGCATAATCGACAACTTTTAATCAATATTTATAATTTATTGTTATAATGAATATTATATAACTCAAGGGTGGTAAAATTTAAATTAATAAAAAAAATGACATCTAAGAAAAACCGGCAAAAATACTTTTAAAGTGAAGAAATTTAAAGTGAAGTAAAGTCGGTATTCTATTTATGTATAGATTTAAATTCCTAAAATCTATGTAATTTTTATTCTGCGTAGATTCAATAAATGTTGAATAAATAATATTTAGGTAAATCAGATATGGGTACATGAAAATTAATTTGTATGATATCTATGCAGTCTTAAATTGTGTTATGACGTTGAAATGGCAAAACGGATTTTGTTGAAATTAAGTACAAAGACAGAATGCAATCTGGAGTAACACTTAGGCTATGGTTAGGGAACCAGAAACGCACCCGAGCGATCAGAGCGTAAATCCCTAGTTATCCCTACAAAACTATAGCAAATAGACGTATCCGACATAGTATTATTAGAAAAATAAAAAAATTGTAAAGTAATTTAGTGCCATTTCTCTTTGCAAATTTTCGTATAATTTTCTGTAATAACTATGACCATTGAGACGTCAAATATCTTAGTATCTTCTGTGACAATGTTTGCTATGAAGTTTTGTATAAAGCAATCGGAAACGTTAAGAAAAAAAAATCATAAAAATAAAATCGCAATAAAATCCGCAATTATATTTTTTTATTATTTGGTTGATCAAAAGCGACACTACAAAATAAAATTAATTAATTTCTTAATTACAACAAACTCAAGCTCATAGCTTGTTCACTAGAAAAAACTCTTTACTAACTCTTTTATTTCATGTGCTCTTTTATCCAATCGTCATATTTATCAACATCAGTAAATATAACGTATTCGTTGGGATCACAAACGCTTATTTTATAATTTTCTCTGCTCAATGCAAGAGAAATTATTCCTCGTATAAACCATACTCCATCATGAGAACCAGTTATTCCACTATCTTCATTTGGTATGAATACAACAAAACCCCCACCACTGTCTCCATTACATACGGACGTTCCTGAAATATTATTACCTCAGTAAATTCTTTACAACGAATATATATTCTTAAATAACTACTTGCTGTTTGTTGCATGTTCAATTTATGTAAATAATCGGACTATGCATTAACCATAAAAACTATGCAAATCATATTTTTTTTTGTAAATATTTTTAATAGGAAGGATTTGGTATACATCATGTCAATTGTTACATGGCATGTAAGTTACATGGACAAACGATTGAGCTATGTTAACAGGCATAATCTTCAAATTTTTTAGTCATGTCATTCAATTTTTTACTCACCATTGATAAGTCCAGCGCAAAATTTATAACCATTTAGGAAGCTACCGTAAAATGTTGGCTTTCTTTTAATGCAAATCTCATCTGATACTAAGGGTATGTGAGCAGTGCGAAGAGTTGGACTTAATGAATCTGTTTGATCAAAACCCCATCCAACTACCTGAAAAGTGTTTGTTTGTTACTGATCTGACTCTCTGTCCTGACTCCTGACATACAGGTTTATTCTAGTTTGGGAGTCAGAGGTTTCAACAGGCTTATGCAACAACAAATAATTATGTCAATAAACATATATTCTATATTCTGTTACTACTTCACGCTGAAACGGATGGTCGGATTAAGATAAAATTTAAGAATGTAAACTGGAGTAATATATCGGTTACATACGGTAGTTACTAAGTCAAGACTACGTTAAACATAATACTATATACATACATATACTTACCCTCGCTACGCTCGGGTGCGTCCCTAGGTACTTTTTAAATAGATCTAATAGTTATTAGCCAACGTTAGCTATGGATTTTTTTGCAATTTTTACTGATGTTTATTAAAACTAATAGAATATAATAGAATAACTATTAAGTTATTCTGCTATCCGGGGCAGAGATAAATCTATCAAATCAAATTTCAAAAAAAACGGGCCCAGCCGTTCTTGAGTCATAAATCGTATATATATGTATATATTATAGATTATTTGAGTGAGTGGTTGGGTTTTATTATATAGAAAATCATACCCATCCAGTGATTTCTCCAATTGGAACAGTCTTGTTCACTCTATCAGACCACATACAAACAGGCTGTATATAATCATTAAAAATAACTGGCGTGGTCAATTTCAATAATGCTATATCATTGTCTAATTTTCTATGATTAAAATGTTCATGTACAATGATTTTGAAAACCTGAAATTAAGGGAATTTCCGTAAACACGTTTCTGTATTGGAAGCTTTAATCAAGGCAACATATATCATTTATATTTATAGTTTCTGGCTGATGTCAAACCTCTCTTTCCTGAGGATTTTCATTGGCTCCAATCAAATTAGTCTTTCCAAGACTAATCCCCAAATATTCTGGCAATACCGGAACACCAACCTTTGTTACGCAATGAGCAGCTATGTTTAAAAAATTAATACGAAGTTAAAAAAAAATAATTATTATATGTAAATAAAAAGTAATGAAGAAAAATCACACAATTATAATTAATATGACAGTTTTTAAGTGCGTATTTATTTTTTATATCTTCATGTAGAAACTCTAGGACGAATTTGGATGAATCAATCGCCATTTATTATATATATATATATATATATATATATATATATATATATATATATATATGTCAGGACATACACACAACACCATCTAGTTCCATGGTAAGCTACGAGGCTTGTGTTATGAATACCAGATAGTTGATATATTATACATATATAACTTTTTAATACATACATATTATAAATATAAACACCCATGACTGGAGTACAAACATTTGTGCTCAGCACACAAATGAATGCCTGCAGCGGGACTCGAACCCGCGACCGCTGGCGCAGCAAATAGGGTCACTACAAATTGAGCCAAACATGTCGTCGTATATACACACAGTACGTATATTACATAATATAATTTTTGCCAACCTGTTAAAACAAATATATCTGACACAAGAGATCCTCCACAAATATATCGGAAGGTAGAATTGTGTATACTGCTTATTCCAACATGCCATGGCCAGTCTCCCGATCTCGCTTCGAGTCCATGGGTTATAAGCTGATTATGTTTTACTTTACGATGCCCACACGACAGTTTTGATGTAATGCTTTGTTCTGTCGAATCATTGGTCTTAGGATGATTGTGTATAGGCCCCTGAAGTAAAATACTTAAATTATACTTTTCAAAATTGGTATCAAAACACAAGCAAACATTAGGTAAATAAGTTATAATTTCTCAGATTAATTTATTCGAATATTTTACAATTTAAATAAAACTATTTCTCGGAATTTTTTGCTGTTTTATATTGCCTCTTAGTTCTCGACGTTTCGGATCCTTTAGAGCAAATATTTTCATGGTTACAGTAACTAAAAATTGTTTAATTCAAAATCTTAAAAATTTTTTCAACAAAGCGTTTAAAAAACTGTTTATTTCATACTTACTAAAACAGAATTTGTACAATATTCTTCACCATTAATAAGAGCGCTTGTAACATAAATAGGCAAAAAAGATTTATATGTAGGCGGTGCTTTTACGTAAACTTGGAAATCGTTTGCATCTTCCAATAACGTTATTGTGTATACGTTATTACCCAATGAAGTTAATTCCCCAAATTTTTTATTCTGTAAATCATAATTATTTTTATTCAATATCAGCATCCTTTCTATGTACAAACATATATTTCTTTATTTATCGTGCTTTTAAACATAATAAAAGTTAAATAGGGAAGTTTATATTTTTGATGTACATAAAAGTTTTATAACAAAAGAAAACATTTAAACCTTATATCTGACCAGTAACAGCCCGTCAGATTATTATAGTAGTCTACCAGTTGAATGTGGTTGTTTTACCTGTTCATGTTCTAGCTGTTATTGCTACTTTTGGCTATGATATGACAATGCATGTAGTTATGAATGATACAAATCTACCAGCCAAACTTACCCTCCCATGGAAATGCACAACAAGTAAAAAGATGAATCTAGAGGAATATAATATTGATTTCCGAAAAAGACACAAGTTATTCAGACTATTTATTTATATCCTTTCGTGAATCACGTGCATAAAATAGTTACATCGCAAACCATGTGGGGTTTCTCAGACTCCAAGAACTATCAGGGTAATGAATGTGTAATTTGTTATTATTTGTTTATTTTGTTTAAAAATACTGTTTTTGTCTATTTAACGGTAAGAATAAAACAAAACCAAGTTAAATAATCAAAATTTTTAATCTTTTACAACAAAGCAACAAAACATACTATTTTTTACAAACTAAAACATAGCCTCTTCTTTGGCCTAACTTAAACAATAAAAAAGTAATTAAACACTTCTCATATATTTCAAATTTTCAAAATTAACATTATAAGGCATGTAAAATTAACAAAAATAGCTTAACTTAGTCAGTCTTCATGAGATCTAGGGTGATTATATTCGGTACAATTTTTACAATGTAAGTGAGCATGCTCTAAGCATATAGGTATATCACAGCGTTCACAACTGTATTTAGTTTTCCGATCTTTCTTTTTGTCACATTCTGATCACCTTGTGCTAGATCTCGGCATTTTTGCTGGTGGTTCGGGGGGTGTTTCACCGCGCAGCTAGGCGCTTACGAGAATCTTTCGGAATCCGTGGTCGAAGGAATCGAAATTCGTTTGCGGGTATTCAAATGTTCTTCAATCAAATCCATTCCCAAATTACGAATGAAGTTTCTTCTATGATCAGTTTTCCCTATTTCGATACCATTATTTAACATCTGCATAAACATTTAACATTGAAAAAAAATGTAGTAAGAGGCCAGCGCTTACTATTACGACTTACGAGACACGTCTTATGTCCTGGCAAGTTTATCAAATACATCTACTCCAATTTTAATTTTATTATGAAATGAAATTATAGATGGCTATTTTTTAATTCCTGCATTTTCGTCTACTTCTTGGTCGTGATGTAAAGACGACATTACATGTACGTGTTTACATGGATTTGGTACATAAGAAACCAACGTGATGTCTTTTTGAAAACCAAAACGTGAGGAATTTGCTTCTCGTTGTAACTTGAAACAAGGCGGAATGCATGTTTTGTTATCTCTCAAAGTGCCAACGATGTTTATGTTTTTGTAGCAATGTCTGTTCCTCTTCGTTCTTACTTCCAGGTAAAAAAGTTTCATCTATTTCGCAATCACTTTCCTATAAAAGAGCTGCTGATATTTCGTGTTCATTCAGTCCACTAGCCATTACAGTCTTTGTACCTGTTAATAAATAATAAATAAGTCGAAATAAATATAAATATTCTAAAAATACTTTATTTCTCAACAAAATTCCTACATACTTACTTTTTGGACGACGTCCCGAACCACATGGGGTCTGTGAAGCCCGAACGCACTTTGTGCACGTCTGTGGCAACGTGTGGCAACGTCACAACTCCAGCTACTCAAAGCGTCGAAAACGCCGCGCGAATTTTTAAAGTTACAAGGATTTTTGTGTGACTGGGCTCTATTAAATCCCATATAGTTCATGGAAGGATACAAGAAGATAAAGCAATGAATAACTAAAATAACGATTTTATTTTTTGTTTCAGCAACGAAAGAATATCTTTAGATAAACGACCAAATTTTAAAGGTTATTTCAGGTTTTTGGAGGCTATTTACCAAAGTGAGATGGACGGATGAAGTAGAGGGTTAAGAAACCCTACTCTAATATTCATGTTTTAGTTTTCAATTAGTGAAGTGGTAAGTGATATGATGCATTTTAATAAAATTTCCATTTTAAATAAAACTATCTTTTCGGATTATTTCGCGGATTTATTTTGAATTTCCATTTTATTTGACAATTAGATATTATCGTATATATATAAATAGTACCCATATAATTGTTTTACCTTAATATTGCAAAAAACTTGTTCTTGTTAAAAGGGCAAATGTTGAGATTAATATTGCTAAAATCTATTTGAATATATTTTTGAAATTAGAACTAAAGTAATCTGTAGGTACATATAATAAAATTCTAACTAAGCCAAATCTGTAAATTAAATATTTTTTGAAAAATCTTATTGAAATAGACATTATTATCGATACAGAAGCCAAATCTATAGTTTTTAGAATTTTATCTGTCTGTATGTCTGTGACCGTTTCACGAGAAAACCACTGGACAGATTTTGATTAAATTTGGTATGATGATAGCTGGATTAAATCCGGGTCAATATATAGGATACTTTTTACTGCGGGAAAATATCTTATCTCTGAGAAATCTATACTATAAAGGTTAAAACGTAAAACGCGGAGCGCGGGCGAGTCGCTAGTAAGAATAAAAGAGATACTATATTATATACTCACAACAGAAACCGTTGCATTTGAAGCGAATCGCAAAGTCACGTTGCTACCGGCTTCTAATTTTTTTTGAAAATAAACTGCATAACTTTTGTACATCAAGAAGTTTTCAAAACTTGCTTGTACAACATCAGACCCATAGCAAACATTAAATAGATCCTGAGCATTGACACGCCCCACAAAAAAACATAACATAAACATAAACTTTGTAATCTTCATTTTTATTTATTAATTTTAATGTGTTAAACGAGATTACATAATTATTATTTAAGTTAGCAATAACGCGTGAACCGAACTAACCATCTACAAGAGCAATATTATCATGAATTGCTTCCATCTTCTTATCTTTTAATATTGAATCAAAACATTAAGGGTGACTATGTTATATTAATTATAAGTCAGATTTTAATTAATATTAATAACATTTAATCTTATTTTACATATTTCTCTTCAATGATATTAGAGCAATACAATAATTTAAAATTGTGAAATCTCTATTAAACTAAAAAAGTGTCATCAGTCACTCAGTTATAATATTAAAAATTTACTATTATAAAGTTTTGGTTGTATATAAATAATAAGTGCGCATGTTCATCATTCCTTCATGTTAAAAAAGCTGGATAGATTAAGATGAAATTTTGTGCACAGATAGACAATGACCTGGTGTAATAGACAGGCTATTATTAGGTAATTATAGTTCATTCGTGTTAAGAAAATAGCGAGTCATCCCTGTCCACCGGCCTAGCCACGGCCCCACATAGATTGCATAAAATTTTAAAGTAATATTTCACAATTACCACTTGAAGGCAGACTTTCGTAAGAAACAGTTTGTGTCATTTGTGCGATATCCATATTAATATTATAAATGTAAAAGTGTGTTGGTTTGTCTTTCTTTCACGTCGAAACGGAGTGACGGTATGGTGTGATTTTTGGTGTAGAGATAGTTGAAGAGCTGGAGAGTGACATAGGCTACTTTTTATCTTGGGAGATCATCTCATTCCCACGGGAAAACACGTTATAATTCAACCCAAAAAAATATTTATGAACAGAACTACTTGAAACTTGGTATAAATGCTGTTCAATATTACTTAAGTAAATACGTGTTTTAGCATTTTTCAAAGTTTATCCCATAAGAGGGTAAAATAAGGGATGTAAGTTTGTATGAAACCTACCCTTTTAGAGTCTTTTTATAGTTTTAGCGCGAACGAAACCGCGGGTTCTGCTAGTATACAATTTTAAAAATGAATACCTCACCTATTCGTAAAAATAAAAGTCGATCGATAATAATTCATAGCGAAGAAAGACGAGTAATTCGCAATGTTTTTAAGTGCTTTAGTCATTAACAAATATATTATTAATGAATTTATTTAATTAATCAACTTAAATTGTTGAAAGGCGCTGACATACCGAGGTGTCAATTAACAATTAATTTCTTGGAAATTATCCAGGAGGTGACTCAAATCAAAATAAAGTCATTATCATTATATTTTTGAATATAATATTTTTTTTTTTTTTTGTATAAAATTAAATTTTTATACCACTTTGAATACACCTTTACCTGCTGTTGCACTTGATGACTCAGTATTTTCTTAACGCGAATGGATTATAGCAGACAAAGCTCCTTGATGGACCGAGCCATTTTGCAAAATTTGAAATTTTTCTCGAGCCGCAAATTAATACGTATTTAAAAAGTATGCAAAAATGTATAATTTTTTTTTACGGAAATTATATTTTTGTTGAAAACATATAAATAAAAGTACAAAATATGTGTATTGAATTTAAAAATGTGTTTAACATTTATTTTATTTTTTTTGATAATTCTTTAAAATTTCGTGACAGCACTTCTCAGTAATTCTTTGAGATGCTGGTTAGTTAATACTGATCGGTGTTTGGATTTCACAAAATTTAAAGTGGAATAAAATGTTTCGTACGTGCAGTTTTCGATAAGGCATAATATTCTTAACTTGGACGGAAAAGAAATTTGTTACAACATTGCACTTAGTCTATCATATTTGTTGTCAGTAATTTAAAAGACATTTTGAAACATATACGGAACGATAATGATTTTTTAAAATAAGTATAATAGCACAAAAATGAAAAAAGAACTCGGGTACATTTATCGAGAGCCACAAATAATCCTTCAAAGAGCCGCATGTCGCTCGCGTGCAGCAAGTTGGCTATCCTGGATTATAGGGACGCAAATCAGCGAATCGAGGGTATTTCTTTTTGGTGGTTGTTTGAAGTTGTTATGGGGACTCACCGGCTAGTGTTTTACCCTTTTTTACCTTACCCTGTTTTTTATGACTTGATTGTATGTGTTCATTGTTTGGCAAACTATCACCGCCACCACGAGTCACTGCGAATTTTAGTTATAACAGTAACATATGCTTAATTCAGTCCATAATCTATCTGTGTATATAATTTTATTTAAATTCGTTCAGCCATTTCAGCAAGAATGAGTAACAAACATACACTTACCTTCACAAGCATTCGCATTTCGCATTTGATTTAAATAAAAAAAAATTATATTGTCACAGTACATAACGTATTTGTTGTGTCTGTCTTACATGTACCATTTATAACTAGAATAAATATCGAACGCGTCAACTCATTTTAATGTTTTAAGAACTGATTAAGTTATTAAACTGATAGTGTTATCTTGTATTGTCAGAACAAGATCAAGATGTCAATTTCTTAGTGTTTACATGTCGATAAACATAGTTTTTCACAGATTATTATCTTCCTTATTTTTTTACCCACTACGGAACGGAGACGGTATAAGCGTTTGGGGTTAGAGGATGTTTGTTTGTTTGTGCAAATCCATGTTGCCATTTTTCTCCAAAACTGCTAGTCCGATTTTGATGCAGTTTTCAGTTATGGATTCGGGTTTGATTGGTGCATGTTCTTAGATAGGTGTTACGGTAATAAATCACCAGGGGGCGCTGCAGTAAACATATGTTTGTGTAAAACCAAAAGTACTAGTCCGATTTTGATGCGGTTTTCAGTAATGGGCTTGTAGTTGATTAGTGAGGGTTCCTTAATAGGTGTTACGATAATAGCTCAGTAGGGGGCGCTCCATTAATATATTTTATTTTATAGTAGCGACTACATAATAAGGAAACTCGATAGAACTCGATAGGTAAGTAGTAAGTACTTCTTTCTTCTGTAGGAAGAAGTCATGTAGAAACTCAAAATTCTTTAGAAATTTTTTTAAAACATACGTCGTACACGTATTTAAGCGCAAAAATGTATGTGAAGCAAAAGACGAAGGCAACGTACATACATAATATCTATCTAAAAAGTTTAAAATAAAAAGCGAAATTAACAATCTTGAAAAAAACCCATGAAGGTTAAAAAGTAATTGAAAAAGGATAAAATAATTTAAAAACCCTCGACTTAAAAAATAAATGTAACGCGAGATACGTTATCCTTTTTCTATTTTTTAGGTTTATCAAATTAGGCATAATTATTAACTGTTACAAATAAATATATAACATAATATATATATATATGTATTTATATATATATATATATATATATATATATATATATATATATATATATATATATATATATATATATATATATAACTCGCTTTTATTTATATAAATAAGTTTATAACTATGACTTTTGAGACGCCAAAAATCTTATTCTCTCCTGTGATTATATTTACTGCAAAAGTTCCGATAAAACAATGATGAGAATAAAAAAATCATAAAAATAAAACCGCAATAAAATCCCCAATTATATTTTTTATTATTTGGTTGATCAAAAGCGACACTTTTAAATAAAATTTATTAATTTCTTAATTACAACAAACTCAAGCTCATAGCTAGTTCACTAGAAAAAAATCTTTACTAACTCTTTTATTTCATGTGCTCTCTTATCCAATCTTCATATTTATCAACATCAGTAAATATAACGTATTCGTTGGGATCACAAACGCATACTCTATAATTTTCTCTGCTCAATGCAAGAGAAATTATTCCTCGTATAAACCATACTCCATCAGGAGAACTAGTTATTCCACTATCTTCATTTGGTATGAAAACAACAAAACCTCCACCACTATCTCCATTACATACGGACGTTCCTGAAACATTATTACCTCAGTAAATTCCTTACAACAAATATATTATATTCTTAAATAACTACTTGTTGGTTGTTGCACGTTCAATTTATGTTAATAATCGGACTATGCATCGACCATAACAATTGTCCAAATCATAAAGTTTTTATATAAATATTTAGCTGTGAATTATAATAGAAAAGGATTTGGTATATTAGATGATGTCATGATGATGATTTAATGAACAGGTTAAAAAAGTCTAAAATTGTATGATCTAGCTCGATACATGTGCCAAATTTCAATGTTCTCCATCTTACTAATAAAAAATAGGCTGTGACAGACGGACAAACGGGCAATAATATTATGCAATTTTTTACTCACCATTGATAAGTCCAGCGCAAAATTTATAACCATTTAGGAAGCTACCGTAAAATATTGGCTTTCTTTTAATGCAAATCTCATCTGATACTAAGGGTATGTGAGCAGTGCGAAGAGTTCGACTTAATGAATCTGTTTGATCAAAGCCCCATCCAACTACCTGAAAAAGGAAATCATACTACTGTAATAAACGCGAAGGTTTGTATGTGTGTTTGCTTGTTACTACTTCACGTTGAAACGGATGGACGGATGGGGATGAAATTTAAGTTAATTAAAGTTAATAGATAGAATATTAACTAGAGTAATACGAGTATATAGGTTAGATACGGCAGTTACCAAGTCATGACTGATGTCATGACTACATATGTTATACATAATACTATTTTAAAATCCGAACTTTACCCACCGATTCAAATAAAAGCGAGCGCACGAGAGAGTACAGGTCAGGATCGGCCTGATTGCCATCGAGTGAATACTTCTCACACACGCATGCCCGCACGTACGCACGCACGCACGCACGCACACACAAGTATAAGAATTGTTACTAAATAAATAAGTTTCATTTCAATTTTCAACCCGGAAGGGCCCTCCCAGCAACGCTCCCATATTCGTGGGCGGCGGAAGATCCCACGGCTAGAGGGCTATGTCCTTAGGACGTTTCCCCACTCCCCTTGGGGGGTATGTGAGATGACCAGGGCATGCAGGTCACTTTTTGCTCAGTCATCGGACGGTAAGGGTTTCGATAACTACGCTACTTTGCAGGAAGTTCGTTCCATATTTTCTTAAAGTAGTTTTTGTTGTATTGTTAGTGTTTTTTGTTTTGAACGAATCCTGATGATTAATGGAATTATTGTTAAAATTAAGTCTATTTTAAAGTAAAGTAATTTTAGGTTGTTTTAAAAATGCCTTTTTATTTGTTTTTCCCTTCTTATTGCTAAAAATATATTATATTGTTTGAGTGAGTGATTAAAGTCTCTACGTTGAGTTATTATATTATATTAAAAAAATCCTACCGATCCAGTGATTTCTCCAATTGGAACAGTCTTATTCACTCTATCAGACCACATACAAACAGGCTGTATATAATCGTTAAAAATAACTGGCGTGGTCATTTTCAATAATGCTATATCATTGTCAAGTTTTCTATGAGAAAATTTTTCATGTACAATGATTTTAAAAACCTGAAATTAAGGGAATTTCTGTGAACACGTTATTAAGCTCGAATCAAGGAAACATATTTCATTTATATTTATAGTTTCTTGCAGATGGCAAACCTCTCTTTCCTGAAGACATTCATCGCCTCCAATTAAATTAGTCTTGCCAAGACTAATCCCCAAATAATCTGGCAACACCGGAACACCAAATTTTGTTACGCAATGAGCAGCTTTGTTCAAAAATTAAGATGAAGTTAGCAACATTTTAATTATTATATTTAAACAAAAAATAATGTACAATAATCACACAATTATAATATATGTAATATTTTTTGCATCTTTGTTTTGAAACGCCTAGACGAATTTGGATGAAATTAAGTACACAGGTAGTCTAGACTTGGAGTAAACTATTAATAATATTATAAATAGGTAAAGTTTATGAGTTTGTGACGTTGTAACGGGTAATCTCTGGATCTACTGAACTCATTTAGATGAAATTTGGTAAGATAATAGTTTGAGACCTTGGGAAGGTCATAAATACTTTTTATCCCGAAAATCATCCCTTAAAGGGGTGAAAATGGGGATGAAAGTTTGTATTGGGAAGCAATCTAGGGACGAACCCGAGCGAAGCGAGGGTGAGTCGCTTGTATAAAATATAATCAATCGACATTTATGTTTATATATGATTCTAAATTAATACATATATCCATATAATATTATGTAAAATTCATTTTGATAAAGTAATATAACTTTTGCCTACCTGTTAAAACAAATGTATCTGAAATAAGAGATCCTCCACAAATATATCGGAAGGCAGAATTGGATATACTGCTTATTGCAACATGCCATGGCCAGTCTCCGGCTCTCGCTTCGAGTCCATGGGTTATAAGCTGATTATGTTTCACTTTACGTTGTCCACACGACAGTTTTGGTGTAACGCTTTGTTCTGTCGATTTCTTGAAAACATAAACAAAACATTATAAGTGTTATACTTTCTGAGATATATTTAATCGAATATTTGATAATGTAAACAAAACTATTTTTCAAAAAAAATCGCAGTTTTATTTTGCCTCTTAGTTTTCGACGTTTCGAATTGTTTCGAATGCTTTACGTTGAACATTTTCATGATTAGAGTAACTGAAAAATAGTTTCATTTAAAAAAAAAATTAATACAGCATTTAAAAAATATTTATTTTACACTTACTAAAGCAGAGTTTGTACAATATTCTTTACCGTTGATAAGGACACTTATAACATAAATATCCGAAGCTTTATATGAAATCGATGCTCTTGTGTAAAATAGCATACCAAGTTTTGCTTCATCCGGTAACGTTACTCTGAATACATTATTACCCAATATATGTATTACAGACTCAAAATTAATATGCTGTAAATCATAATTATGTTTATTAAATATCAGCATCCTCTGTATGCATAAACATGCATTTGTGTATTTGTCTTGCTTTTAAAAAGGCATTAAAAGAAGATAAAACAAAAAATAAATAAAATAATGATATTATTTTTTGTTCAAACAATGGCAATATTTGGATGAACGTCCAAATTTTTAAGGGTCTTATATTTAAAGCATGTTAAATTAAACGGGGCTTTCTATAACGCTTGGAGGCTGTTTACGAAAATGAGATAGATTTCTTAATGGTAGTGTAATATTAATGTTAGACGAGTAATGTGGTAAGTGATGGTTTTCTTTTCATGTTTTATAATTTCCATTTTATTTGATATTTCTTAAACTTTATTCAAATCGATATTTTTGTATGTATATATAAATACTAGATTGCTATATCCATATATTGTAAATAGCAATATTCTTTATAAAAAACCAATTGCTCAGATTATTATTGATGACTCAACTCAGCAGAACTGCCCTGAGTGGCTTCCTCACGGACTTACAATACAGTATATTTCATTTACATATAAAAAGTGATTGTAAAATATATTTGAACATATTATAATTTATTTTAACATTTATTTATTGAAATTCGAACTTAAATAAAAAGAATTAAAGTTAGAGAAACAATACTTACAACAGCAAGATCTACATTGGGAGCAAATTGAATAGTCACGTTGGTACCAGCTTCTAAATGTTTATTAATAAAAACTGTATAACTTTTTAATACCGAGTAGCTTTTAAACTCTGTTAGTATAACATCAGATCCATTGCAAGCCTTCATAAAATAATGCTTAGCGTTGACTCCTACCACAAAAAAACAAAACATAAGCACAAACTTTGTAATCTTCATTTTTATTTATTTATATTTTAACACGTTAAACTAGGTTACATGGACTATTAATAAAATTAGCATTTACGTTTGAAACGATCTAACCAACTAACTACAAGAGAAATGTTATAATGAATTGATTCCATGTTCTTATCTTTTAATATTGTATCAAAACATTGAGGGTGACTATGTTATATTTATAAGTTGGTTCTTAATTTTAATTAAAATTAATAAGATTTTAACTTATTTTGTTACCAAAAATCTTTTTCTTAATCACATATTTCTCTTTAAAGATATTAGAAAAATGTTCAAAATTGTGAAATTTCTATTAAACTAAAAAGTGTCTGATATATCAGTCACTCAGTTATAACTGTTAAATTAAAAATTTACTATTATAAAGTTAAAACTTTTTATTATTATATAAATATAATAATAAGAATAATAAGTTTTCGTGTTTAAGTGAATGTTTGTCAGTCGTTATAAAAGCTGGATAGATTAAGATGAAGTTTTATACGTAGATAGACATTGACCTGGTGAAATACATAGTTAGGCTATTATTAGGTATGTAGGGACGCAAATGAGCGTAGCGAGGGTATTTTTTTGGTGCTTGTTTGAGGTTGTTATGGGGGCTCACCGGCTACTTGTGTTTTACCCTTTTTTTTATCTTACCCTGTTTTTTGTGACTTGATTGTATGTGTTCATTTTTGGTAAACCATCATCGCCACTACGCGTTGCTATGTATTTTATTTCTAACAGTAAATATGCGTAATTTAGGCAATATTCTAATTGTGTATATAATTTTTATTTAAATTCGTTCAGACGTTTCAGCACGAATGAGTAACAAACATACACTTACACTACACAAGCATTCGTATTTCGCATTTAATTATTAAAAATTAAATTTTATATGGTCAAAGTACATTACGTATTTGTTTTCTCTGTCTTACATGTACTATTTATTACTACAATAAATATCGGGCGCGTCAACTTATTTTAATGTTTTAAGAGCCGATTAAATTATTATACCGATAGTGTTATCTTGTATTGTGAGAACCAGTTAAACATGTCAATTTCTTAGTGTTTATATGTCGATAAACATAGCTTTTCATAAATTATTATTTTCCTCATTTTTCAATGTTTTGACCATAAGTTAGTACTTTTTTGTCACGCATGATGATAACACACTATGGAGTAAGGTTACAGTATTCTAATCTATAAAGTCATCTATTAAAGATGGAGGTATACATATTATAGTAGAATAAGTATAGACAGAGCATTGCGCACTAAAAGTGAGGCAAGTAATATGAAGACGATGCGTGCGTGACGTGCTGTTGGTAAAATAATAATTGCGAAATTAAGCCGTTCTGTGTCATAAACTGCTGCAAAAACAATTCCTGTTTTCAAAAAAAGTCTTCTAGGAAACTTTTCACAAGTAACTGATTTTCTGTATAATTTAAACAAAATCGCTAAAATATTAACATAATTCTCCGCACACGAATTTTAGATGCCATTGTGTCAATGCTGCAAGTTAAGAACATTATGTTTTCCCAAAAGTAACGGAAGTTGTGATTTTTGTACACGTTACAACTTTTTTAAAAAAATAATAATTATTGTATTTAGGTTTTTGAGTTATTAGGTATATTATTAAACGTAAGTATTTATAAATTACGTGATTCCGAACTAGAATCAATATTTGACACTCCCAAAAGAAATAAACTCAGACAACAAGCTAGAAAGTATAAATTACGTTATCAAATTCATGCACACAAAATCAAAACACTTAATCAGAAGGTTAAAGGCCTTAAAAAGAAAAACGCGTCAAATTAGTTATAATTATTCTAGTATATGTAAGTTTTGTGTGGTGTTATTGTTAAATTATTAATTATTTTTATATAAGAATAAATGACTCATTAAACTAATTTACCTTTCATTTCATGTAACCAAGGCAAATAAAAAACAATACTACCTATAATAAAACTTTTCACCAAAGTATATCTCTCGCACTTGGGAGTCGTAAGCACAACGCTTGCAACATTATCTTACACCGAGCTACGCACGCAAAGCCAAAACTTTGCCTCACTTATTTCGTCGCGTTTGTTTACAACGGCTTCGTCTATACTTTCTTATTGGTCTGAGCTTTAAAGTAATTTAAAAGTCTGTATAATCTATACTAATATTGTAAAGAGGAAAGATTTGATTGTTTGTTTGTTTGTACTAAACAAGCTCCGATACTACTGAACCGATTTAGATAAAATTTGGTAAGAAGATTGAGATCCGAGGAAGGACATAGGGTAGTTTTTATCCCGGAATTCATCCCTCAAGGGGGTTAAAATGGGGATAAAAGTTTGTATGGGGAATCAACCTAGGGACGTGAGGGAAGCGAGGGTGAGTCGCTAGTCTATTTAAAAACTAAGTTATTTTTATTTTGTATAGTTTCAATAAACGTTTAATATTATATGGGTACACCAATAAAAATATTCTTTATATTATTTTCTTTACAATGTGTAAACACCTGGCTTTCATGACCTAAAATTCAATTTAAAATGAAGAACTCCGACGTTGTAACGTCAGGACGTTTTTTGTACAAAGATGGACTGCAACCTGGAGTAATACATAGGATATTGTTAGGGAACCAGGAACGCACCCGAGCGATGAGAGCGTAAATCCCTAGTCAGTTGCTCTAAAACTATAGCAATCGTAATCAGTATTATTTATATATTTAAAAAAAATCTAAGGTAAATTAGGGTTTTGTGCTTTGAACATGTTACAGATACGTTATCCTTTTTCTATTTTTTAGGCTTATCAAATAAGGCATAACTATTAACTGTAACAAACATATACTTGCTTTTATTTATATAAATAAGTTTATAACTATGACTTTGAGACGTCAAAAATCTTATTCTCTCCTGTGATCATATTTACTGCAAAAGTTCCGAAAAACAATGATGAGAATAAAAAAATCATAAAAATAAAACCGCAATAAAATCCCCAATTATATTTTTTATTATTTGGTTGATCAAAAGCGACACTTTAATATAAATATAAAATTTATGAGTTTCTTAATTACAACAAACTCAAGCTCATAGCTAGTTAACTAGAAAAGATATATACGAACTCTTTTATTTCATGTGCTCTTTTATCCAATCGTCATATTTATCAACATCAGTAAATATAGCGTATTCGTTGGGATCACAAACGCTTACTTTATAATTTTCTCTGCTCAATGCAAGAGAAATTATTCCTCGTATAAACCATACTCCATCAGGAGAACTAGTTATTTCACTATCTTCATTTGGTATGAAAACAACAAAACCTCCACCACTATCTCCATTACACACGGACGTTCCTGAAACATTATTACCTCAGTAAATTCCTTACAACAAATATATTATATTCTTAAATAACTACTTGTTGTTTGTTGCACGTTCAATTTATGTTAATAATCGGACTATGCATTAACAGTATAAATTATTCAAATCATTAAAATTTGATATAAATATTTAGCAGTGCATTATAATAGGAAAGGATTTGGTATATTACATGATGTCAATTGTTACATGGTATGTAAGTTACATTTAATGAACAATTTAAAAAAAAGTCTAAAATTGAATAATCTAGCTCGATACGTGTGCCGAATTCCTTGTTTTCCATCTTTACTTATTCGAAAAAACAGGTTGTGACAGACGGACAAACGGACAGACGATTGAGCTAATAAAGTTTCTATTTACATAAAGCATAAAGATAGAGAACTAACAACCACAATGTTCAAGTTTTTTAGTAATGTCATTAAATTTTTTACTCACCATTGATAAGTCCAGCGCAAAATTTATAACCATTTAGGAAGCTACCGTAAAATATTGGCTTTCTTTTAATGCAAATCTCATCTGATACTAAGGGTATGTGAGCAGTGCGAAGAGTTGGACTGAATGAATCTGTTTGATCAAAGCCCCATCCAACTACCTGAAAAAGGTAATCATACTACTATAATAAATGCGAAGGTTTGTATGTGTGTTTATTTGTTACTACTGCACGCTGAAACAGATGGGATTGGGATGACATTTAGGATCATAGGTAGAATATAAACTGAAGGAATAGGTATATCAGTTACATACGGTAGTTACCAAGTCGAGACTACGTTAAACATAATCCATACTTATATTATAAATGTGAAAGTGTGTTTGTTTGTTTGTTTGTTTGTTTGTTTGTTTGTTTATCTTTCTTACACGTCGAAACGAAGTGACGGATTGACGTGATTTTTTGTTGGAGGGCTGGAGAGTGACATAGGCTACTTTTTATCTCCAGAGATTATCTCACTACCAAGGTATAGTATAACCAAAAATATTTATTATCAGAATTTGTTAAAGCTTGGTACTAATGCTCTTTAATACAATTAAAGAAATATGTGTTTTAGCATTTTTCGAAAGTCATCCCATAAGGGGGAAAAATGGGGGATAAAAGTTTGTATGAAACCTACCTTTTTAGAGTTTTTTTTTTCATAGTTTTATCGCGAACGAAGCCGCGGGTTCTGCTAGTAATATATATTATACGCTCGGGCGTGTCCCGGTACTTTTTAAATAGATATAATAGTCATTAGCCAACGTTAGCCATGTAAATTTTATTTAATTTTTTTCGTGAATTTTTCCTATGTTTTAATAGTTATTCTGCTATTCGGGGCGGAGGCAAATCTAATAAATCAAAGATCATAAAAATCGGTTATAAATGGTGTAACTTTGCTCGGAGATTTTGGCCAACAGTACAGTTTTCTTTTTTTTAAAAACAATAAAATGAATAAATGTTAAAAAAAACAAAAGTAAAATTTTTGTATGCGACCGAGATTTAAACCTGGACATCTGTGATTGTGGATCTTGTACCTTGGCCGCTTAACCACAATGCTTATAACCGATCATGTAAATTACCGACCATATTTTGCGTGGAATAATGCAAAAGAAAACTGCATGAACTCGAAAACACGCATTTTCTCAGGCATAAGACTAAACTAGATCGAGTGATCGCCCCGAAACCCGCTGTATGTCATGAAAATCGTTAGAGTCGTTTCCGAGATTCAGATTATATATATATATATATATATATATATAATATATATATATATATTGAGTTAATATATTATATAAAAAATCATACCGATCCAGTGATTTCTCCAATTGGAACAGTCTTATCAACTCTATCAGACCACATACAAACAGGCTGTATATAATCGTTAAAAATAACTTTCGTGGTCAATTTCAATAATGCTATATCATTGTCTAGTTTTCTATGATTGAAATTTTCATGTACAATGATTTTGAAAACCTGAAATTAAGGGAATTTCTGTAAACACGTTTCTGTATTGGAAGCTTTAATCAAGGCAACATATATCATTTATATTTATAGTTTCTGGCTGATGTCAAACCTCTCTTTCCTGAGGATTTTCATTGGCTCCAATCAAATTAGTCTTTCCAAGACTAATCCCCAAATATTCTGGCAATACCGGAACACCAACCTTTGTTACGCAATGAGCAGCTATGTTCAAAAATTAAGACGTAGTTAGCAATATTTTAATTATTACGTTTAAACAAAAAAAGAATATGAAGAAAAATCACACAATTAGAATAAATGTGAAAGTTTTTATTTTTTCATCTTTGTGTTGAAATGCCTAGACGAATTTGGATGAAATTAAGTACATAGTTAGTCTATGACTTGGAATCATCTATACTATATACTATAATAAAACTATAGAGGTTGAAACTTTCTTTATCAGTTTTATTAAAAGGATTTTTATGCTAATCAAAACGCAAGCCACTAAATGCAGCGCAAAGAAAGTACGCATCGATTGGTCACTCCATCATTGCAGCAACTCCACCTGCTTCATTTCCTTCTCCGGTTCTCCCTCAAGTATTTGATATAGAAGGTCAACCAGATCCTGAGCCGCAGCCGGGTCTATCAAAAAGACCGAGGACAGAGTAATTACACCACGTAAAAAAAAAACGCGCCTCCAGACTCTACCTTGTAGGTAATGAGGAAAAGAGTCAATAATTAATAAATAACAATATTGCATTATCAATAATTAAAAAGATTATCATAAAAACAAATGAAAATATGATTGACAATTATGGCGAATATTTATGTATAGTTATGAATACTGAAGAATAGTATATTCGTTTCGAGGCGCTGTAAAACCTTAAAAAATAATAAATTTTTAAAAGTTCATAATAAAAAATATTCCTTAAAACCCCTCTATAAAAATGGCCTGATATATTTTTTTTTGTAAAATGATCAAAAAAAAAAGTTAAGCGAGTATTCTACGACTAAAATGTACTTGATAAAAGTTGTAGAGAATTTTATTTGCAACCAAAAATAGTTTATTTTTTTTGTGAGACCTATAGTTTGTCAGATAAACAATAAAAACCATTTGTACCCCTTCTTCCAAAATGTCGACCGTGGACAAGGGTTGCAACCCCACAAACTTGGATTTAACTTTACACAAACCCTTTCTTGATATCTAAAAAAATAAATTGCATCCTCTGACAAATACAACCCGAAATATAACTTTTCAATGGACCAAATATGAACATACAATATTATGTAAAATTCATTTTGATACAAAATAACTTTTGTCTACCTGTTAAAACAAATGTTTCTGAAATAAGAGATCCTCCACAAATATATCGGAAGGTAGAATTGTATATACTGCTTATTGCAACATGCCATGGCCAGTCTCCGGCTCTCGCTTCGAGTCCATAAGTTATAAGCTGATTATGTTTCACTTTACGTTGTCCACACGATAGTTTTGGTGTAACGCTTTGTTCTTTGGAATTATTGGTTCTAAAAGGATTGCGTGTAGTCCCCTGAAGTAAAAGACATAAATTATTCTTTTCAAAATTGGCATCAAAACATAAGCAAATATTAGGTATGAAAGCTATAATTTCTGAGATTTTTTATTCAAATATTTGACAATTTAAATAAAACTATTTTTCGGACTTTTTCGCAGATTTATTTTGGCTCTTAGTTCTCGATTTATTGAAAATCCTTTACAGAAAATATTTTCATGGTTACAGTAGCTAAAAATTATTTTATTTAAAATCTTAAACAAAGCATTTAAAAAACTATTTATTTTACACTTACTAAGGCAGGGTTTGCACAATATTCTTCACCATTAATAAGGGCACTTGTAACATAAATAGGCAAAGAAGATGTATATGAAGGCGGTGCTTCTACGTCAACTTCGAAATCGTATGTATCTTCCAATAACGTTACTGTGTATACGTTATTACCCAATGAAGTTAATTGCCCAAATTTTTTATTCTGTAAATCGTAATTATTTATACTAAATATCAGTATCCAGCATTATATTTTTGATGTATATAAAAGTTTCAAAACAAAAGAATAAATTTAAGCCTTACTTCCGACCAGTAACAGCCCGTCAGATTACCGCAGTAATCTACCAGTTGCATGAGGTTGTTTTACCTGCGCATGTTCTCGTTGTTATTCCTACTTAGCAATTTATTAGTTACAAGGGACTCACTCTCGCTTCGCTCGGGTTCGTCCCTAGCTTGCTTCCAAATACAAACTTTCATCTCCATTTTCACCCCGCTAAGGGACCGGGAAGGGATTTCCGGGATAAAAATCCTATGTCCTTCCCAGGGTCCCAAACTATCTCCTTACTAAATTTTATCTCAATCGGTATAGTAGATCCAGAGATTACCCCCTACAACGTCATAAACTCACAATCTCACAAAGTCACAAACTTTACGTATTTATTATATTAGTATAGATAAATGATGCAAATCTACCAGTCAAACTTATCCCCCCATGGAAATACACAAGAAGTAAAAAGATGAGTTTAGAGCAGTATAACATTGATTTCAGAAAAATATATTATAAAAATAAAAATCCCGACTGCATAAAAGCTAACTAAAAATATGAAAACAAGTTGATGAAGGAATATAGTATTATGCAGTTGGAGACACAAGTTTCATCCTTGGCGCGAGATGAGTATGTATGTCTATACATATATATATATATATATATATATATATATATATATATATATATATATATATATATATATATTAATTGTTATAACTTAATATTGTTAATAAACATATTCTTTTTAAAAGGGCAAGTGTTGTGATTATTATTGCTAGAATATATTTGAATATATTATGATTTAACATTTATTTATTGAAATTAGAACTAAAGTAATAAGAATTAAAGTCATAAAGATACTACTCTGTACTCACAAGATAAATCGTTGCATTTGAAGCAAATTTCAAAGTCACGTTGCTACCAGCTTCTAAATATTTTTTTAAATGAACTGTATAACTCTTGTACAAGAAGTATTGTTCAAAACTTGCTTGTACAACATCAGATCTATAGCAATTATAATATTGAGCGTTGACACCACCATAAAAAAATACCACAAAAAAATATAACAAACACATAAACTTCGTAATGGTCATTTTTAATTATTTTTTCAATGTATTAAACGAGGTTATATAACTATTCATTAAATTAGCAATAACATGTGAAATGATCCAACCATCTACAAGAGCAATATTATAATGAATTGGTTCCATGTTCTTATCTTTTAATATTGTATCAAAACATTGAGGGTGACTATGTTATATTTATAAGTTGGTTCTTAATTTTAATTAAAATTAATAACATTTCAACTTATTTTGTTACCAAAAATCTTTTCTTCACATTTCAAAATTGTGAAATTTCTATTAAACTAAAAAAGTTTTCTACAATAATAAAAATAATAAGTTTTCGTGTTTATGTGTATGTTTGTCAGTCCTTCACGTTATAAAAACTGGGTACACACACCTGGTGTAATAGATAGGTTATTATTAGATACCTAGGGACGCAAATGAGCGAAGCAAGGGTATTTTTTTTTTGGTGGTTCTTTGAGGTGGTTATATGGGACTCACCGTCTACCCTGTTTTACCCTTTGTTACCTTACCCTGTTTTTTGTGACTTGATTGTATGTGTTCATTTTTGGAAAACTATCATCACCACTACGCGTTGCTATGTATTTTATTTCTAACAGTAACATTATGCGTAACTCAGGCCATATACTACTTGTGTATATAATTTTTATTCAATTTCGTTCAGTCGTTTCAGCATGAATGAGTAACAAACATACACTTACACATACAAACATTCGCATTTCGCATTTAATTCTTAAAAATTAAATATTATATGGTCAAAGTACTAAACTATTTGTTGTCTCTGTCTTACATGTATCATTTATTACTACAAAAAATATCGGGCGCGTTTACTTATTTTAATGTTTTAAGAGCCGATTAAATTATTGAACCGATAGTGTTATCTTGTATTGTGAGAACAAGTTAAAAATGTCAATTTCTTAGTGTTTATATGTCGATAAACATAGCTATTACGTATTTTTTGTCTCGCATGATGATAATACACTATGGAGTATGGTTACAGTATACTAATCTATAAAGTCACCTATTAAAGATGTTTAAGCAGAGTAATCATGTGATCCCAATTTGGGTGGGAGGTTATTTTTGCAGGTTGCCCACTTCGGTGGGCGGTGTTTGTGTCGTGTGGGGCTGCTCCGGGTACTTCTCTGATCAGCAGAGTGGACTTGGGTGCAGCCTCACGTGTTGGGTTGTTAGTCTTCCCATAATGGGGTTGTCCCACTTGGGGCGGCCTCATGGTGGTGGCTTCGGCCAACCGTCGGGGCGTCGCGGTTGTATGCGAAAGCGATCCCGTGGCGTCCCATTTGGTGGCAGGGGTTGGGAAGTTGGGTTTCAGTGGGTAGGCCGGTCTCATTAGCCGGAGAGTCTCCACATAACCACCCCAGGAGAAGTCGGGTGGTATCCGTAATAGGATTTTCCACTATGAAAAATAAATAAATAAAATAGGCTAACCATGTGAAGGGTGCGGGGTGAGACGCGGGTAAGACGTTCCCGATTGTCACACGTAGTTTTATACGGCAGTCGGGAGGTATTAGGGTTGACGAGTATAACTGTAACTTGCCACAAGATGGCATTCCTATAGCACAACTCTGTTTCAGTTAATTAAAAAAAATTCAGTGTTGTATTGCGGTCGGAGGTTTCTCATAAATTCATATATTAAATCTAACTGAGCGAAATTTATAGTGTTATTAGAATTTTGGTCAGTTTTTCTGTTTGTACATGATCGACAACTTTCAGTCGATATTTATATTTTATTGTTGTAATTATTATAATATAACTCAAGATTTTGTCCAGTTTATTATTAAAGAAAAAAATTACATCTAAGAGAAACCGGTAAAATACCATTAAAATCATTTAAAAGTCGATATAATCTATACTAATATTATAAAGAGGAAAGATTTGATTGTTTGTTTGTACTAAATAGGCTCCGAAACTACTGAAACAATTTAGATTAAATTCGGTAAGAAAATAGTTTGAGATTCGGGGAAGGACATAGGGTATTTTTTATCCCGGAATTCAACCCTTAATGGGGATAAAAGTTTGTATGGGGAATCAACCTAGGGACGCGAGGGAAGTGAGGGTAAGTCTATTTAAAAACTAAGTAATTTTTATTTTGTATAGTTTCAATAAACTTTTAATATTTTATGGGTACACCAATTATGGGTATATAAAAAATATTCTTTATGTTATCTTCGGAGTATTAAAATGTGTAAAAACAAAACAACTTTCTTTGTTACAATATGTAAACACCTGGCTTTAATGACTTAAAATTCAATTTAAAACAAAGACCTGCGACGTTGAAACGTCAGGACGGATATCGATGTTTTGTACAAAGATAGACTGCAACCTGGAGTAGCACATAGGCTACTGTTAGGGAACCAGGGACGCACCCGAGTGATGAGAGCGTAAATCCCTAGTCATTTGCTATAAAACTATAGAAATCCTAATCAGTATTATTTATATATTTAAAAATTTGTATGGTAAATTAGTGCCATTTCTCTTTGCAATTTTTTGTATAATTTTGTCGGTACCAACCCAAATAAAAAATATCCCAAAAATGTGAATATAGATATAATAATAATGACCTCTCTAATTGGACTGAATTAGGCCACGACAGCCAGTCTCATTGAGACTAGCCATTTGCGCAGGAGATATTATAGTGCACAAGTGTACGCGCAGTCACAAGTGTACTCTCTATTTCTGTCATACTCATACTCCGGTGGGACGACTGCTCGATACGACCCATCGGTCGAGTTAAGGCGCAGGACCAACGGCTTTACGTAGGCACGTAAGTTTCTTCGAGGCACGGGGGTAAAACACCGCCAACTTCCTATCTCCGGCATGTTACTGAGACTTACTAAACAGTAAGACTCAAAAACTAAACTTGACACGACCCGGGACTCGAATTCAGGATTTCTCGATGTGCAGCCGTACTTGCTAGCCACTACACCACCGAGGCAGTTACATACAGAATATATACATATTACATTGAATAAGAAAAAGTGATTATTTTTGTTGGGTTCAAAAATAAACAAAAAAAATATGTATGTACTCGTACTATATTTTCAGGGGTTTGTGCTTTAAACATAATGTTACAGATACTTTATCCTTTTTTTTATTTTTTAGGTTTATCAAATTATGTGTAATTATTAACTGTTACAAACATATAAATAAATCATAAAAATAAAACTGCAATAAAATCCGCAATTTTATTATTTGGTTGATCAAAAGCGACACTTTGAAATAAAATTTATTGTTTTTTTAATCACAATAAACTCAAGCTCATAGCTAGTTTACTAGAAAAAATCTATACGAACTCTTTCATTTCATGTGGTCTTTTATCCAATCGTCATATTTATCAACATCAGTAAATATAACGTATTCGTTGGGATCACAAACGCTTACTTTATAATTTTCTCTGCTCAATGCAAGAGAAATTATTCCTCGTATAAACCATACTCCATCAGGAGAACTAGTTATTCCACTATCTTCATTTGGTATGAATACAACAAAACCTCCACCACTATCTCCATTACATACAGATGTTCCTGAAATATTATTACCTCAGTAAATTCCTTATATAAACAAATACATATTCTTAAATAATACTTGCTGTTTGTTGCACGTTCAATTTATGTAAATAATCGGACTACCCATTCACAATAAAAAATATTCAAATCATAAAATTTGATATAAATATTTAGTTGTGCATTATAGTAGGAAAAGATTTGATATATTAGATGATGTCAATTGTTCCTTAAATGTACCATGTAACTTACATGGTATATTTAATGAACAGGTTAAAAAAAGTCTTAAATTGAATGATCTAGCTCGATACGTGTGCCAAATTCTATGTTTTCCATCTTCACTTATTCAAAAAAACAGGTTGTGACAGACGGACAAACGGACAGACGAGCTAATAAAGTTTCTGTTTACATAAAGCATAAAGATAGAGAACTAACAACCACAATGTTCAAATTTTTTAGTAATGTCATTCAATTTTTTACTCACCATTGATAAGTCCAGCGCAAAATTTATAACCATTTAGGAAGCTACCGTAAAATATTGGCTTTCTTTTAATGCAAATCTCATCTGATACTAAGGGTATGTGAGCAGTGCGAAGAGTTGGACTGAATGAATCTGTTTGATCAAAGCCCCATCCAACTACCTGAAAAAGGTAATCATACTACTATAATAAATGCGAAGGTTTGTATGTGTGTTTATTTGTTACTACTGCACGCTGAAACAGATGGACGGATTGGGATGAAATTTAGGATCATAGGTAGAATATAAACTGAAGGAATAGGTATATCAGTTACATACCGTAGTTACCAAGTCGAGACTACGTTAAAAATAATCCATACTTATATTATAAATGTGAAAGTGTGTTTGTTTGTTTGTTTGTTTGACGGATTGACGTGATTTTTGTGTGGAGATAGTTGGAGGGCTGGAGAGTGACATAGGCTACTTTTTATCTCCAGAGATTATCTCACTACCAAGGTACAGTATAACCAAAAATATTTATTATCAGAATTTGTTAAAGCTTGGTACTAATGCTCTTTAATACAATTAAAGAAATATGTGTTTTAGCATTTTTCGAAAGTCATCCCATAAGGGGGAAAAATGGGGGATAAAAGTTTGTATGAAACCTACCTTTTTAGAGTTTTTTTTTTCATAGTTTTATCGCGAACGAAGCCGCGGGTTCTGCTAGTAATATATATTATACGCTCGGGCGTGTCCCGGTACTTTTTAAATAGATATAATAGTCATTAGCCAACGTTAGCCATGTAAATTTTATTTAATTTTTTCGTGAATTTTTCCTATGTTTTAATAGTTATTCTGCTATTCGGGGCGGAGGCAAATCTAATAAATCAAAGATCATAAAAATCGATTATAAATGGTGTAACTTTGCTCGGAGATTTTGGCCAACAGTACAGTTTCCTTTTTTTTAAAAACAAAAAAATGAATAAATGTTAATAAAAACACAAGTAAAATTTTTGTATGCGACCGAGATATAAACCTGGACATCTGTGATTGTGGATCTTGTACCTTGGCCGCTTAACCACAATGCTTATAACCGATCATGTAAATTACCGACCATATTTTGCGTGGAATAATGCAAAAGAAAACTGCATGAACTCGAAAACACGCATTTTCTCAGGCATAAGACTAAACTAGATCGAGTGATCGCCCCGAAACCCGCTGTATGTCATGAAAATCGTTGGAGCCGTTTCCGAGATTCAGATTATATATATATATATATATATATATATATATATATATATATATATATATATATATATATATTGAGTTAATATATTATATAAAAAATCATACCGATCCAGTGATTTCTCCAATTGGAACAGTCTTATCAACTCTATCAGACCACATACAAACAGGCTGTATATAATCGTTAAAAATAACTTTCGTGGTCAATTTCAATAATGCTATATCATTGTCTAGTTTTCTATGATTGAAATTTTCATGTACAATGATTTTGAAAACCTGAAATTAAGGGAATTTCTGTAAACACGTTTCTGTATTGGAAGCTTTAATCAAGGCAACATATATCATTTATATTTATAGTTTCTGGCTGATGTCAAACCTCTCTTTCCTGAGGATTTTCATTGGCTCCAATCAAATTAGTCTTTCCAAGACTAATCCCCAAATATTCTGGCAATACCGGAACACCAACCTTTGTTACGCAATGAGCAGCTATGTTCAAAAATTAAGACGTAGTTAGCAATATTTTAATTATTACGTTTAAACAAAAAAATATATTAAGAAAAATCACACAATTAGAATAAATGTGAAAGTTTTTATTTTTTCATCTTTGTGTTGAAATTCCTAAACGAATTTGGATGAAATTAAGTACATAGTTAGTCTATGACTTGGAATCATCTATACTATATACTATAATAAAACTATAGAGGTCGAAACTTTCTTTATCAGTTTTATTGAAAGGAATTTTATGCTAATCAAAACGCAAGCCACTAAATGCAGCGCAAAGAAAGTACGCATCGATTGGTCACTCCATCATTGCAGCAACTCGACCTGCTTCATTTCCTTCTCCGGTTCTCCCTTAAGTATTTGATATAGAAGGTCAACCAGATCCTGAGTCGCAGCCGGGTCTATCAAAAAGACCGAGGACAGAGTAATTACACCACGTAAAAAAAAACGCGCCTCCAGACTCTACCTTGTAGGTAATGAGGAAAAGAGTCAATAATTAATAAATAACAATATTGCATTATCAATAATTAAAAAGATTATCATAAAAACAAATGAAAATATGATTGAAAATTATGGCGAATATTTATGTATAGTTATGAATACTGAAGAATAGTATATTCGTTTCGAGGCGCTGTAAAACCTTAAAAAAATAATAAATTTTTAAAAGTTCATAATAAAAAATATTCCTTAAAACCCCTCTATAAAAATGGCCTGATATATTTTTTTTTGTAAAATGATCAAAAAAAAAGTTAAGCGAGTATTCTACGACTAAAATGTACTTGATAAAAGTTGTAGAGAATTTTATTTGCAACCAAAAATAGTTTTTTTTTGTGAGACCTATAGTTTGTCAGATAAACAATAAAAACCATTTGTACCCCTTTTTCCAAAATGTCGACCGTGGACAAGGGTTGCAACCCCACAAACTTGGATTTAACTTTACACAAACCCTTCCTTGATATCTAAAAAAAATAAATTGCATCCTCTGACAAATACAACCCGAAATATAACTTTTCAATGGACCAAATATGAACATACAATATTATGTAAAATTCATTTTGATACAAAATAACTTTTGTCTACCTGTTAAAACAAATGTATCTGAAATAAGAGATCCTCCACAAATATATCGGAAGGTAGAATTGTATATACTGCTTATTGCAACATGCCATGGCCAGTCTCCAGCTCTCGCTCCGAGTCCATGGGTTATAAGCTGATTATGTTTCACTTTACGTTGTCCACACGACAGTTTTGGTGTTATCCTTTGTTCTGTCGATTTCTTGAAAACATAAACAAAACATTATAAGTGTTATACTTTCTGAGATATATTTTAAAAAAAATTACTCAATAAAGCAATTAAAAAAATATTTATTTTACACTTACTAAAGTAGAGTTTGTACAATATTCTTTACCATTTATAAGCACATTTGTAACATAAAGATCCCTAGGTTTGTAATTAGGCGGTAGTATTGCGTCAACATGAAAATCAGATGCGTTAACCGTTAACATTATTGTGCATTTATGAACATCATATTGATAGCAATCGAATTTCCCAAATTCATTATTCTGTAAATCATAATTATGTTTATTAAATATCAGCATCCTCTGTATGCATAAACATATATTCCTTTATTTATCTTGCTTCTAAAAATATAAGTGCCATAAGAGTGATCAATTGATTGACGTTGCATATTGTGTTTACCTATCAGTGCTGTTGAAGAATAATACTTTCTTAGATTTACGCGAATGTTTGACATTATTAAATAAAACTATCTTTTCGGATTATTTCGCGGATTTATTTTGATTTTTGGTTCCCGACGTTTCGAATGCTTTACAGCATCCATGGTCACGGGAGAGACTGGGGTGTTACATGTCTTAAAGGTATAGTTGTTACAGACAGACAGATGTTTAAGACATGTAACACCTCAGTCTCTCCCGTGACCATGGATGCTGTAAAGCATTCGAAACGTCGGGAACCTAAAATCAAAATAAATCCGCGAAATAATCCGAAAAGATAGTTTTATTTAGTAGCTGTTGAAGAACTTAATAAAGATGAAAAAAATATATTAAATGTACATAATTTACATTTTTTTTAATTAAACACTTAATGATATTTTAGACACAAAGTTCTGAAACAAAAAAATAACTTTAAACGTTATTTCCGACCAGTAACAGCCCGTCAGATTACAACAGTAATCTACCAGTTGTCCGAGGTAGATTTACCTGCTTATGTTGTACTTGTTATTGCTACTTATGGCGTTGAAACTTACCCTATCATTGAAATATACAACAAGGAAATACAATATACAGAAATATAATATCGATTACAAAAAAAAAAATAGAAATTACACAGGACTATCTACATCTACACAAATTTTTATATAGGTATGAGCAGCAGAAATTGGACTGTTTATTTTTAGAAGAAGATAAAACAATAAATAAATAAAATAATGATTTAATTATTTGTTTTAACAATGGAAATGTTTGGATGAATGTCCAAATTTTTAAACGGTTTTATATTTAAGTATGTTAAACTAAACCCTGTTTACACAGTGACAACGCACCTACCATTAAAAAAAAACTCCGCAGAGTTGACCTGAGTGGCTTCCTCACGGATTTACATTCACGGAGTACATTTCATTTAAATATAAAAATTAATTCAAAAGTGATTGTAAAATATATGTATATTTGAATACATTATGATTTATTTTAACATTTATTTATTGAAATTAGAACTAAAGTAAAAAGAATTAAAGTAAAAAAAAATACTTACAGAAAAAAGCCATAGCAATGAATTTGAAGCAAATTGCATAGTTACGTTGGTACCAGCTTCTAAATATTTCTTAATATGAAAACTACAAGTATTTATTTTGATGTACATGCTTTGTAAACTTTACTTCTACAATATGAGAACTAGAGCAAGGATCAAATTTAGGCCGAGCGTTGACTCGTACCACAGAAAAACAAAACAAAAGCACAAACTTTGTAATCTTCATTTTTATTTATTTTAATAAATTAAACGAGGTTACATAACTATTCATTAAATTAGCATTTACGTTTAAAATGATCCAACCATCTATCTACAAGAGCAATATTATTATGAGTTACTTCCATGTTCTTATCTTCTAATATTGTATCAAAAAAATTATTGAGGGTGACTATGTTATATTTATAAGTTGGTTTTAAAATTTAATTAAAATTAATAACATTTCATCTTATTTCGTTACCAAAAATCTTTTTTTCAAACCCCACTTTTCTTTTCGATTATGTTAAAGCAACTCACGTTATAAGATTGTGAAATCTCAATTGTAGTTCATCACTACAAAAATTGCTTGATATGTCAATCAGTTAGTTATAACTGTTAAATAAATACTTTTTAACAAAAAATAAAAACCGACTTCCAGGCACTAAAATGTAAAAAATAACTAAACGGAGGTTTTCATTTAAAATAGATACCTAATCGGATATTTTCGAAGTCGGTGTCAGCTGATGCAGAGCAAATCTAATATATTTCGATACGTAAAATACATATTTACTTATTAGATATTCATATCTTAAAATATTGTAGGTAGGTAAACACTAGTAGACGGTGAGTCCCGCATAACCACCTCAAACAATCACAAAAAAAATCCTCGCTTCGCTAATTTGCGTCCCTAGGTATCTAATAATAATCTATCTATTACACCAGGTCTATGTCTATCTGCGTACAAAATTTCATCTTAATCTATCCAGCTTGTATATGCAGCGTGAAGGACTGACAAACATACACATAAACACGAACACTTATTATTTTTATTATTATACTAGCGACTCACCCTCGCTTCGCTCGGGTTCGTCCCGAGGTACGGTTAGTATAAAATACAAATCTTTGAATTTCTTGGCTTTCTGTACTATAATATGCATGTATTATACATATAAACCTTCCTCTTGAATCTATTAAAAAAAATCGCATCAAAATCCGTTGCGTAGTTTTAAAGATCTAAGTATACGTAGAGACAGACAGACCGCGGGAAGCAACTTTGTTTTATACTATGTAGTGACAAAACTTTACAATAGTAAAAGTTTAATTTAACAGTTATAACTGAGTGCTGACATATCAAGCACTTTTATAATTCAATAGAATTTTCTCAATTTTAAAATATGGTATTGCTCTAATATTTTTGAAGAGAAATGTGTGGTTTGAGAATAAGAGTTTTGGTAACGAAATAAAATGAAATGTTATTAATTTTAATTAAAATTAAGAATCAACTTATAAATATAACATAGTCACCCTCAATGTTTTGATACAATATTGAAAGATAAGAACATGGAACCAATTCATTATAATATTGCTCTTGTAGATGGTTAGATTGTTTCAAACGTAAATGCTAATTTAATTAATAGTTATGTAACATCGTTTAACTAATTAAAATAAATAAATAAAAATGTACATTAGAAAGTTTGTGCTTTTGTTATGTTTTTTTGTGGTACATGTCAACGCTCAGGATAAATTTAATTCTTGCTATGGGTCTCATGTTATAGAAGCAAAGTTAACAGACTACTCGATATTTAAAAGTTATAGAGTTTATGTTAAAAAATATTTAGAAGCTGGTACCAACGTGACAATGCAATTTGCTTCCAATGTATGGGTTTCTGTTGTGAGTATTACTTCTTTGACTTGAATTCTTTTTACTTTAAATCTAATTTTAATATATAAATGTTAAAATAAATAATATTATATTCAAATATATTTTACAATCACTTATAAATTAATTTTTATATATAAATGAAATGTACTGTATTGTAAGTACGCGAGGAAGCCACTCAGGGCACGTTTTTCTGAGTTGTGCCATCAATAACAATCTAAATAAATCCCCTTTTAAAAAGAATATTGTTATTTACAATATATGCATATAACAATCTAGTACTTATATATACATAATAAAAATATCAATTTCAATAAAGTTTAAGAAATATCAAATAAAATGGAAATTGTAAAACATGAAAAGAAAACCATCACTTACCACATTACTCGTCTAACATTAATATTACACTACCATTAAGAAATCTGTCTCTTTTTCGTAAACAGCCTCCAAGCATTATAGAAAGCCCCATTTAATTTAACATACTTTAAACATAAGACCCTTAAAAAATTGGACGTTCATCCAAACATTGCCATTGCTTGAACAAAATATAAAATCATTATTTTATTTATTGTTTTGTCTACTTTTAATACCTATGTGGGTAGGTATAGATCGTCCTTATAATTTTGTGTTTTTTTTTCTGAAATCGATATTATATTTCTCTAGATTCATGTTGTATTATACTCCGTATATCACACAGTTAACTGGCTCGTCAACACCCGGTATACATAAGTGACACGTCTGCTCTCGCCCATAGTATATGTAACCTTTTTTACTCTCGCCTACTTCTGACACTGGACTGCCCTACCCGCTTTACCGTGAGCACTAGACGGTGTAAACAACTATTACTAAAGTTATTATATTTACACAAACCCTACACACGTTTTTCCTTGTTGTATATTTCAATGGGAGGGTATGTTTAGCAATGACATATCATCACCATAAGTAGCAATAACAAGTAGAACTTGAGCAGGCAAATCAACCTCATATAACTGATAGATTACTGTTATACTCTGACGGGCTGTTACTGGCTAGAAATAACGTTCAAAGTTACTGTTTTGTTTCAGAAGTTTTATATAATCATAAAGAATTTGATTTGATTTTTTTTTATTGTAAATTTAAAAATAAAAAATAGCTTTTATTATGTATTTTTATAATAAAAAATAATATATTTTTATCTTTATTAAGTTCATCAACAGCACTGATAAGTAAACACACCATGCAACATCAATCAATTGATCAGTGTTATGGCACTTATATTTTTAAAAACAAGATAAATAAAGGAATATATGTTTATGCATACAGAGGATGCTGATATTTAATAAAAATAATTATGATTTACAGAATGATAAGTTTGGGCAATTAATTTCATTGGGTAATAATGTATACACAATAACGTTATTGGATAATGCATTTGATTTTAAAGTTGTCGCAAGAGCACCGTCTTCATCTAAACCTTCGGATCTTTATGTTACAAGTGTCCTTATCAATGGTAAAGAATATTGTACAAACTCTGCTTTAGTAAGTGTAAAATAATATTTTTTTAAGTACTGTATTTTTTTTAATAAAACTATTTTTTCAGTTATTCTAATCATGACAATGTTTGCCTTAAAGCATTTAAAACAATTCAAAGTGTTCGGAATTAAGAGGCAAAATAAAACTGTGACTGACTCAGAAAAAATAGTTTTAAGTACTTAAATTGTCAAATATTCGAATAAATATATCTCAGAAAGTATAACGTTTATAATGTTTTGTTTATGTTTTCAAGAAATCGACAGAACAAAGCATTACACCAAAACTGTCGTGTGGACAACGTAAAGTGAAACATAATCAGCTCATAACCCATGGACTCGAAGCGAGAGCCGGAGACTGGCCATGGCATGTTGCAATAAGCAGTATATACAATTCTACCCTCCGATATATTTGTGGAGGATCTCTTATTTCAGATACATTTGTTTTAACAGGGAGGCAAAAGTTATATAATTGATTATTTTTTATATTACTCCAGGTCATAGACTGTGTACTTAATTTCATTTAAATACATCCAGGCGTTTTCTATACATATAATAAAATTTTAACTAAGCCAAATCTGTACATTAAATATTTTTGGAAAATCTTATTGAAATAGACATTATCATCAATACAGAGGCCGAATCTATAGATTTTAGATTTTTTGTCTGTCTGTCTGTCTATTACCGCATCACGGAAAACCCACTGGAGGGATTTTAATGAAATTTGGTATGATGATAGCTGGTTATCCCGGTCAACATATAGGATACTTTTTACGGGAAAATATCTCATCTCTGAGAAATCGATACTAAACGTTAAGATATAAATACCCTACTTACCCGAGCGAAGCGAGGGTGAATCGCTTGTAACATATAATGATGTAAAAATATATACACACTTAAAAACCTTCGCATTTATAAGAAATGTGTGATTTTTGTTTAATAATTTTTTGTTTAAATATAATAATTAAAAGGTCGCTAATTTTCTCTTAGTTTTTTGTCATACAATGTATATATATATATATATATATATATATATATATATATATATATATATATATATATCTATCTTTATATATATATAATTCTTCTGTGAGTGTGTATGTCACTGAACTTCTCTCAAACGACTGGACCGGTTTTGATGAAATTTTTTGTGTGTGTTCAAGGGGATATGGGAATGGTTTAGATTCACAATTTGAATAATAATTTTCATCAAAAAAATTATTAAAAAAAGTTTGAAATTTTCAAATTAAAGACGTGTAGACAGGACAACGTCTGTCGGGTCCGCTAGTATATATATATACACATATATATATATATATTTTTTTACTATTTGTTGTTGTCTAAAATAAAGATTATTTATCATCATGTAGCTGCTCATTGCGTAACAAAGGTTGGTGTTCCGGTATTGCCAGAATATTTGGGGATTAGTCTTGGAAAGACTAATTTGATTGGACCTAATGAAAATCCTCAGGAAAGAGAGGTTTGACATCAGCCAGAAACTATAAATATAAATATTATATGTTGCCTTGATTAAAACTTCCAATACAGAAACGTGCTTACAGAAATTCCCTTAATTTCAGGTTTTCAAAATCATTGTACATGAAAATTTTAATCATAGGAAAGTAGAAAATGATATAGCATTATTGAAAATGACCACGCCAGTTATTTTTAACGATTATTTACACCCTGTTTGTATGTGGTCTGATAGAGTGAACAAGAATGTTCCAATTGGAGAAATCACTGGATCGGTATGTTTTTTTTATATATAATATAATAGCTTGAGGTAACGTGTGACTTGGTAACTGCTGTGTGTAACTTATATAATTACTTCAGTTCATATCCTGTCTAAATATATATACTAAACTTGATTCCAATCCGTCCACCGTTTCAGTGTGAAATAGCAACAAACATACACATATACACACCTTGGTATTTATTACAGTAGTATGATTACCTTTTTCAGGTAGTTGGATGGGGCTTTGATCAAACAGATTTATTAAGTCCAACTCTTCGCACTGCTCACATACCCTTAGTATCAGATGAGATTTGCATTCAAAGAAACCCAACATTTTACGGTAGCTTCCTAAATGGCTACAAATTTTGCGCTGGACTTATCAATGGTAAGTAAAAAATTGTATATAAATACAATGTACATTGTACATATATACAAAAAAATTAAATATTGTGATTTTAAATACTATCTTTATGTGTTAATAGAAAAACAAATCAATCCCACGTAAACCGTAAATTTTTCCGGAATATAAAGTAGGCTATGTGCTATTTCAGGCTATAATCTCTCTAAAATCTCTGTACTTTTCATTTAGACCCGTTCTACCGTTCTGGCGTGATTGAGCAACAAACACCCATCCAAACATCTAAATTTTCACATTTATAATATTAGTAAGAAATAAGATGTTAATAGAAGCCTTATTAGCACAATCATCTGCCTGGTTGAACACAATTTAGCATATGTACAAAGTTAGATAATCCAATTTTAGACGTAGAGCCTAAATAGATGAATTGTGGAAAATTTGAAAAGTTTCATTAAATAATGCACTGCCAAATATATACATATATACATTTATTAAATTTTATATTTGGCAACTTTACCTCATCTCCGAAAATACTGTGCTTAGAGTTCTGAAAAAACTATTATAAGATTCATGTTAATACTTGTACTTATAGTAGTTAAACATGCAACAAACAACAAGTAGTTGTTTAAGAATACATATATATTTCTTGTAAAGGAATTACTAAGGTAATAATATTTCAGGAACATCCGTGTGTAATGGAGATAGTGGTGGAGGATTTGTTGTATTCATACCAAATGAAGATAGTGGAATAACTAGTTCACCTGGTGGAGTATGGTTTATACGAGGAATAATTTCTTTTGTTATGAGCAAAGAAAATTATAGAGTAAGCGTTTGTGATCCCAACGAATACGCTATATTTACAGATGTTGATAAATATGACGATTGGATAAAAAAGCACATGAAATAAAAGAGTAGTAAAGATATTTTTTTATGCCTAATTTGATAAACCTAAAAATAGAATAATAACTGATAACGTCTCTATAAGATTATGTTCAAAACACAAAATCATGAAAGTATAATACATACCTACATACATATTTTGTTTATTTTTGAACCCAATAAGAACAATCACATTTACTTATTCATTCTAAATTCATATTTTTGGGTGTATACCCACAAAATTAGACAAAAATATGCAAGGAGGAATAGCACTAATTTACCTTAGATTTTTTTTAAATTTATAAATAATACTGATTAGGATTGCTATAGTTTTATAGCAACTGACTAGGGATTTACGCTCTCATCACTCGGGTGCTTTCCTGGTTCCCTAACAGTAGCCTATGTGTTACTCCAGGTTGCAGTCCATCTTTGTACAAAACATCGATATCCGTCCTGTCGTTTCAATGTCGCAGTTGTTTGTTTTAAATTAAATTTTAGGTCATTAAAGCCAGGTGTTTACACATTTTAACGAAAAGTGTTTTGTTTTTACATATTTCGATACTCCGAATATAACATAAAGAATGTTTTTTGTATACCCATAATTACTGTACCCATATAAAGATGTCTAAGCAGGGCGATCGTGCCAGGTGTCAGGGGTGAGATGTGGGTGAGGTGCTCCTGATTGTCACACGTACTTTTTTATGGCAGTCGGGAGGCATTAGAGCTGAGTATAACTGTAACTTGCCACAAAATGGCATTACTATAGCGTAACTTTGAAGCTCGCTATGAAAATTGAAATTTTTTACAACCATTATATATGGCGGATTTCCATTAAGATCAAAAGCGATTCTACTTTATGAATTTTGTACTGTAGATTTTTGTATTTTAACATTTGTTTTATTTTTATATGTGCATCTTGTATATAATAGTATATTGTGATGCCTTTTGATAATAATTCCAGATTTTACAATGCATTACTCCTATCTAATACAAATAAATAAAATTCAAGTGTCTGTTTGTAATGTCAAAACAATATTATTTTTTTTCTAAATGCATACATATAAAAGTGTATACGGTGGGTACTTATAGGAAAAAAACAATTTAAAAAAAGTGGTCTGTCTGTTTGGTTCGGCTAATCTCCGAAACCGCTATACCAATTGACAGGACTTTCACTCGCAGATAGCTGATATTATAAGGAGTAACTTAGGCTACCTAATACTTTTTTAAAGAATTAGGTTTCCGCGCAAAAAAATTATAACTCATGAAATTTTGAAGAAAATCCGTTGAAAAACACACTCGAGCAAAGTGAGGGTAAGTCGCTAGTTTTAAATAGGTATAATCATATCTCTATTTTGGTCTTGGACTCATAATGGCTAATCTCCACCGTATTTTCTCTATGATACACGAGATTGCGAAATAAACTGTAAATACTGACATACACGCCTAAAATCATGAAACAAATAATGGAATTGAAAAAAATCTTTTGTGGCTTCCGCCTTTAATGTATACTAATATTTATAAAGAGGAAAGATTTTTGTTTGTGTTTTTGTTTGTACCGAGTAGGCTCCGAAAATACTGAACCGATTTAGATGAAATTTGTTAAGAAGATAGTTTGATACCCTGGGAAGGACATAGGAGTTTTTATCCCGGAAATCATCCCTTAAAGGGGTAAAAATAGGGGTGAAAGTTTGTATAGGGAAGTAACCTAGGAAAGAGCCCGAGCGAAGCGAGGGTGAGTCGCTAGTAACACATAATAATATTTTAGTTCGGATTCTCTGTTATTCTGGTTAAATAGTAGGATATAAGGAATCACTGTGTATAATATATTTTTGAAAACGTAACTAATAGAAAACAATTGGTAATGTAAGAGAAAATATCGTTTATCCAATTTTAGTGTCCTGTGTCACCCATTATGTTAGGGGCGACAAACTTGAGAAGGGTAGGCGTGTGATTAGGATAAGAATGCGGTCCTTTCAATGTTATATTGGCTTTAACTTGTATTTTATTATACAATTGTTGCGAAATCGTGGAATATGGTATTACAGTATTGTTTTATACATATAATAAAACTGTATCGGTTGAATATCTGTACATAGAAAAAAAATGCTAAAGTCCGAGTCAGGGGGATGTAAGAAGAGAAATAGAATAAATCCCAATTTTTTTCAAATTTTTAGTTTCTATGTCTGTTTGTCTGTTTGTACGGGCTAATCTCCCGAGACTGTTTGACCGATTTAAATGAAATTTTTCATGGTGGTACCTTATATCCCCGGGCAACATTTTAGATACTTATCATCTCAGAAAATTAAAGAGTTCCCGTGGGATAGTTAAAAAACTATAGTAACTTTTACAGCTTAGTACACAAAATAAATGTACACGAAATATTTTTAAAAATAAAATTATTGTTCCAGCATGAAAAATCAGAATTATGCTTAGACATTCATTTATTTAACACAATATAATATGTACTTATTTAATAAATGTAGGTCAAACTAAAAATATAGGTTTGCATTCTCAACACTAATACCTTATATGACTTAACGTCATAACGTGTACTTGACAGGTTAACAAGCGGGCAAAGGTAGAAGCTGTGAAGAAAAACGTGTGAAAGGGAAATAGTAGGCATATTCGAAAAGTGTATTTTGAGAGAAAAATGCTTTGTTTAACCATATGGAGATTTTGCTCGTTATAGGATTCATGGACAAGTAGGTAAGAGTGTTGTCATGTTGTAAGTTTTTTTTAACATTTTAAATAAAACTATGTTTTGCGGGTTTTATCTCGGGTTTATTTTAAATTTTTGGTGTTCGTCATTTTGAATGATTTACCGCAATCACGGTAATCAATGTTGGATATGATTCACACATGAATATCAGATAATATCAGAGATGCGACACGCGGAATTTGAACCCGTTTTACTCGGTTTCCTAGCGAGCGCGTTGCCAATGGGCTACCACTGTCTTAAAATAAATATACTGTAAATTGTGTTGCTAAATAAAAATATTTTTATTTGAAAATGATTTCTAACAACATTCATAACTTAAATAAAATAAACTAAATGAAAACTAATGGCGAACTTTTATTTTCTAAACCGAGCTTTCCGATATTCGTTTAACAGAACGCCTAAGCATGAATCCCTACAAAGTAATAAAAACAAAATTTCACTTCTTATAAATTCGGTATAAATATAAGTCAAAACTTAATACAACTTTGCCCATTACAGTCGGATAAGGAAATTCAATTTTTTTTACGACCGCGACTCTAAGCTGCGAAAAACTTGAGTCATGTTACAAGTACCTTCAGTAAATATTGCAACTATGTTATAATCATTTATGACAGTTTAGCATTAACATCGATTTTATAGTAGAACTTTAAAATTGGGGTCTTTCGAATAAAAAGTTATTGGCCAGATTGATTTATGAACATTTCTTTTTGTGGCAGTGGTAACTTGCTCTTTTGGGAATCCAAGTAGGTTCAAATCCCGGGTCTCGCACTTCTGATATTTTAATTTGCGAATCATTCCCAACATGATTAATGATTATCACTTGTCATTGCCAACATGATTAACACAGTAAAGAAAAACATCGTGGGAAAGCCTGCATGTCTGAGCGAACCTAGCAAGTGGACTATGGCCTCATCCCCTTGTAATGAAGAGACGCAAGTGCCCAGCAGTAGGACAGTTAAAAAGGGCTGAAAAATTTCTTTTACAGACGTTGAATATATTTTTGAACAGCTTTAATTATTTACTTTATTTGGTAGTTAGTTTTTATAAGAATTAAATTGAGATATAAATTGAAATTTATCTACGAGTAAGAGTTCTTTCTAATAATATAGATTAGTGGTGGAAATGTCATGCTAGATAGCATTATGTAAGAGATTAATATTGTATATTGTATTGATATTTAAACTAAATTCAGTACAATATTGACTGTAGTGTTAAAATAAAATTTGTACTTAAAATATTTCAGAATATTAATTACTTACGCTGTTTGGTCATATAGCTGTCGATTCATTTATTTTGAGCGAAATTAAATTTCACAGCATACAAGTATTTACTTTTAGAGGTAGCTTATTTTAAGCTACGATTGCGCTTAAAAATATGTCAATAAATTATTTAATGCCCTCAGTTCAGTTTAATATTTAATTCGCTATGTATAATCATACGTAAATCAAGAGAAAATTTTACCCCTAAGGGTGGAATAACAACGTTTTGAAGTCAGTGGTACCTTTGTAATAAAAAAATGTAATGCCATAGGTATATTTTTTTTCATCGTGACCTTGTTTGCTGTAAAACATCTGAAACAACGGAAACAAAATCTCGACTAAATTCGAAAGGGTTTCTTCACAGGGAAAGGATTTTTCAAGTTCATTTAAAATGCCAAATGCTTGCGTAAAACTAAGAAAGTATTTAATTATACCTTCTTAGGTTTACTTGTATATTGAAATTCATACACACATTATAATAGCGTACAATTTAAAAAATATATCAATTAACTCTAAACACGGTTTCTATAGTTACTATTATTATGATATTTATATATTTAATTTAAAAAAAGAACGTAATAAAATCGAAAAAATAGTTCTATTTAAATTAAAAAAAAATTTTTTCCATACACCGCGTTTGTCACCTATCATCAGCACTTTTTTAGCGAGATGGATTTCAAATTACCTTCGTCAGTCGTTACATATGTGAATAGATATTAAAAAAGGTTGTTAAAATTTTAGTCCTTCATGTCAGCTTTTTTCTGTGGGCGCGTTGATGGACACACACTCTCGGTACAAGCAAAATATATAAAAAATATAAAATGGGAGATACAGTGTAAATGAATATAGGAAAACAGCTACCTATATATAAAATTAAAAATCCGACTAAACGAAACAACAACTAAACGAAAAACAAATAAAAAAACAACTAAACGAAAAAGTACTAACATACAGTAGTTGTATAAGTGTTCTAACACACATTTTTTCAAAATATTTCATTTATTTTTTCCATTTTTGTATTTAGATGCCATATTGAAAAATAGCGTA